TTTTTTTTGTATTTTTACTGGTACCAGGGATCGAACTCACAACCACAGGCTTGCAAGGCAGGCACTTATGCCGCTGAGCTAAATCCCCAGCCCCTTGATGGAATTTTTAATCTCCTGGATATCTGCTTGAATCTGTTTCATGGATTCCATTTCTTTCCTATATTGGGCATTTATAGTTTCCATTATTTTCCTAAGTGCCTCTATTTTTTTTTTTTGTCTTTTTCATTTTTATCGGTACCAGGGATCAAACTCATGACTGCCTGCTTTCAAGGAAGGTGCTTATGCCACTGAGCTAAACCCCCAGCCCCAAGTGCCTCTATTTTTTTTTTGATCCTTTTTAAAAAATTTTATTTAAGGAGAAAAAGAAAAAAAAAGCAGAGAAAGGGTACAAGTTATACAGATTTACAGAAAAAAAAACAGTAGGAAATCACTAGTTAATAGATTACATTTTGTCATCTTAGAAATAATTGTTCAAGTTACAAAATTAAAGCTTATAAAGTGGACATTCCAACAGTGAGACTGCAAACAGTTCTGTTCAATGATCCAACAAAACTCAGTAATATCATTATCTATCCTATACACTTAAATATACATGCAGTTATATCGTTTAGAGCACTTTCTTTTCCTCTCTTTTGTACAATGACAATTACATATTTTGGGTTTTGTTGCTCCCACAGTTCTTATTACTTTTTTGGAAGAGAGTAGAACCAAAAGTGACATAACAGAACAGTCAGTCAAATCAAAAGTGTGGACGTAATAGATAATGTAAAAGCATAATACTAGGTGATCAACAATGGTTACCATAATGCCTCCCGCTATCTCTAATAGAATTGCCTATATCATTAGTTATAATAAAATTTGAACAAAACAGTAAAGAACAAAACCAACAAAACCAAAACATTGGAGACATTATAGGTCTTCAAAAGTAGATAATAGTCAACCAGAATGGGCGTCATAATGAATCCCACTATCTTCACAGCTGTTGCCTAAACTTTCGAACAGCAAGCAAAACAGAATAGAGGAACATCAATCAAAACAAGATGGTGAGAGCAATACAGGGCTTTAAATCAAGATAATGGAAAGTCAAAGTGGGTTACTAAAATATATCCTGCTATTTTTAATTTAATTTTCCCTTAATTAAAAGGATAAAAAAGTAAATAATAAAATGGAGATTGAGATAAAAGAGGGCATAACAGCAAATCAGCGCAGATCAAAACATAACCATTTAAGCAAAATAGTGTTTCACCACAAGATTATCCCGACATAAAAGTAGTTACCAGATTGTCTCTTTCCTTAAAATCTTTGAGTATAACTTCATATAGTGTATCATCAAATATATCAAAACAATGTAAAACAATTTAAGAGAATGACAGTATTACAGGGTATTTAGAATCAACTAACAGAAAATGAACAATGGTTTCTGTATAATCTCCTTGTCTATAAAAGGTTTTGCTTATACTATCATATATAATAAAATCCAATAAGATACCACCTGTTTAGACCAGTGGAGACAGAAGAACAAAAGCTTGATGAGACTTCAAAACAAGATGATACTAAATCAGTATTACCTCTTAAGACGTCATTTTCTCCAAAATAGCTGTTCCTATCATCCAATCTTCTCTGCCTCATTTCTGTTGAGCTCTTTTTCTGTCATTAGTTGTCAGTTTGTCTTCTTCATTTTGTTTTCTGCTCCATTCATTGTGGCCTCTCTGCCGCTACTTCTGGATTTTTCATATTTTTCTTTTTTAGAATATCTTGCAGTATTCTCTGTAGAGTTGAATTGGTGGTTGCATATTCCCCTAGTTCCTCTTTATCCTGGAAGCACCTTGTTTTTCCATCAATTTCCAGGGATAGTTGTGCAGGATATATCAATCTTAGCTGGAGATTATTATCTTTCAAAGCTTGAATTATTTCCCCCCACGCTCTTCATGATTTGATGGTTTGTGCTGAGAAGTCTGCTGTAATTCTGATGGGTGTTCCCTTGTAAGTGATCTGTTTCTTGTCTCTGACAGCTTTTAGTATTCTGTTCTTGTATTGGATTTCTGGAATTTTAATTATTATATGCCTGGGTGTTGCTCTGTTTGGGTTGTAGGTGGCTGGGGTCCTGTATGCTTCATACAACTGAGTATCTTTACCTTTTGCTAAATTAGGAAAATTCTCCTGGATTATTTCTGTGAGTAGCTTTTGTAGTTCATTTGTTTGTGTCCCTACTTCTTCTTTTATGTTCTTAATTCTTAAGTTATAGACCCTCTTATCATCTTCTAGTCTTTGTATTATTGCTGTTTGTTTCTTTGTTATTTTTAAGACGTTTTTCATTTCATGCTCCCATATTACAAATCTGCCCTCCAGTTCAGATAATCTGTCCTTAGTTTCTTTCAAGCTGTTATGCCAGTTTTCGATAGACTTTTTAGTTTCCTGGTAGTCTCTTTGAACCTGCTTCACGTATTCTATGCTTTCTCTATTTTCTCCATTAAACAATTCTCCCCTCTTTTTCTGTTCTTCCATTCCACCATCTGTTTTTTCTTGGGTGGTGCTTAGCATGTTTCTAACTATTCTGCTTATGTGTAGCTTCAGGTCATTAATAACTTCATTCCTGAACTTGTCTATGAGGCTCTTAAGATAGCGCTTTATGTCTATTGGTGCTGTGTCTGCTGTTGTCTCTTTCTCAGGATTGGGGGCCGAGGACCCTTTCTTGTTGCTGCCTCTTCCCGTATTCTTTGTTCCTTATATATGCAAGCGTATATAGGAGGCCCAGCTTCCTTCCCTGTCAGCCACAGTCTGATTGAATTACGCCGGCTAGGTGTTCCCACCCACCGCAGCGCACCAGGAAGTTTCAGACCAGGCAGCCTATGGGGGGCCCGCCCCTCCAGGTCAATCTACCTTCAGGAGCTGGGACCTGGGCCGTGCTAGCCTACTGGGTCTCAGCCAGCAGCGTCATGTGGGCTAGGCACTGCTCACCAATCCCGCTGGAGAGGAGGATTGGTGACTGAAGTCACTGCAGCGCCCTGTTTCTGCAAGTCTGCCCGGTCCCAGAATGTCCTCTGTTGGAGTCTCCTGGACCGTGGGAGAGTCCCAGTTTTCCCTCACTCACCGGAGGTGGATGCACGGCTCCCCGCCCGTCCCGCTCTCAACTCCGTTCACCGATTCCCATTCTCAGAGCTTCTGCACGTCTCTTTCCCTGCCTAGCCGATGCAGACGCAGCAGTGGTGGCGGGAAACCCAAATCCCTGCTTCCAATGGTGCAGGCTCCAGCTTCCATGCTGAGGCTTTATCTGTTCCTGTTATAGAACCAGGATTGCATTCCCAGTTGGTTTCTCTCAGCCCAGATCGTTCTTGGGTCACCGGAGCATATCTCCTCTTGCTTATGATTCCTTACTCAGCACCATTCCTGAATTTTAAGCTGGGTGTTTCAGAGAGCCTCCGTAGCTGCTGCTATCTGTCCGCCATGTTCTCCCGGAACAAGTGCCTCTATTTTTAAAAATGTGTATCTGCTCTAGAGTCACAAAACATGTTTTTCATTGTGGTCACCACCTCTGAAGTTACCTGACAGATTATTTCTGATTTGATTTTTTTCCAGAGCCTCATTCATTTGCTTTGTTGTTACCACTTCAGAGAGGCCTGTTGGGTAGCTTTCAGAGAGTCCACCTCATTGCCCTTTGGGTTTGCCTTTTTTCTATCTTTCTTGTTTTGTTTCTTGTTTAATCCTAACCCTAACCCTAAGAAGCTGCACTTGTATTGCATGATGAGCATAGAAAACCAGTTAAGATGCCCTGGTGGGCTATCGAGAGCAAAATGTGATAAAATGAAGATGGTACTCAGAGGTTCTAGTAGGTTCCACATTTGGATGGATTCTATAGCAGTGAGTAAGTTGACTTCGACCAAGTGCATGATTCCTAGCCATGTCTGCTAGGGGCATAGGAGTACAAGGACAAGAACACAGGACATTTGTCCTCCCTGGGGTAGAGCATGAAGGAAGAGGAACTGGGCAAAAATACAGGGTTTGGGGCAGAGGATGAGTGATGGGGAAGGGGATACAGATGCTATAGGGAGGGGATTGGCACAGATGGAGGTGAAGTACAGAGGAGGTTGATGTGGTTTAGCCATTAGATACAGAGTTCAAAGTAAATGGAGATTTCCTGATGAAATTCAGAGTTTGCTTTTCTTGAAGATTTGGAAGATGGCCACATTAGACCTATATACACCACAGAAAGTTAAAGCTTGGTAGAGTCTACAATCCCAGTGTACAAGGTTCCATGAAATCCTCTTCCTCCTTGCCTGGGTGGTCTTTGTGTGACTTTGATACCTCTGGGAAGAGGATGGATGTTTGCATAGCAGGCAGGTATCACTCCTTGTTCCAACTTTGTGGACTGAATGACAATTTCTGAAGCACTGTGTTGAAGTAGATTCAGAGACAAAGTCCTCCCTCAGCAACTGGAGAGATAGAATCAACAGAGATAGAATCTGGGGTCTGTGATGACCTGGTCACAGAGGGACAGTAGAGGCTAGGAATTAGCAAAAATGTTTACCAAATAGCTCCCAGGACTTCTACCCCAGAAGTTTGGGGAAGGGACAGTCCTAATCCTTGCTACCCCTCAGTTGTCCAGATTGATGGCGAGAACTCTGCTGGGCAGACGGGGCTTTTCCTCTCAGCTCTGCTGGGCCACAGCTGTGCCGTGTGGCTCTTGATGGTCTTTGGTGCCAACCCCAACCAGTGAGTGGACAGGCCACAATGCCCTATACTCCCTAGGGCCCTAAGCCTGAGACCTGGCTTCTTCCCCAGAGGCCTGTTGCCCTTATAACTCTTTCAGCTACTGTGACCCTCTTGGTCCCTCTTGTCCCCCAAGGACTTCTCATTCTCTAGGTCCCTCCCATGCTCATAGTGATCCTCTCATTCCCACAAAGGTCCCATATGTACTCACATAACCACTCTACCTTCCTGCTTCTCATACTTTGTTGCTGCTCCTTTCCTAATCCATTCCCATCCTCTTTGCTCTGCCCTAGCCGCTGTCTTGACGGCAGCACACCAGTACGTGCAGGTGCCTTCTCAGGCTGCAGCCAGATCATGTTGCAGCTGCTGCAGGCAGGGGGTGACTTGCGTCTGCACGACCAGCAGGGTCGCACACCACGAGACTGGGCTGAGCAGGGTGGCTCCAAACAAAGCTGGGAGGTGAGCCATGGCACAGGTGCAGGTGGGGGCATCAGAGCAGCACTTGCACCTGGCCTCACCCATGTGCTTTTGTCCAGGTAGTGGAGCTGTTGCAGCTGTGTCGCATCCACATGTCAGCACTACTGCATGGTGGGGAATTGGCACCCATTGCAGCCCTAGGGCCATTGTACACTGGCTCTGGGCACAGCCTGCGGCGCTCCCTGTGTTCACTGATACAGACAGAAAGGTAATGGTCCACCCTGGGGCTGCCCATCCACCACACCCAGGTACTCCAGCCTTTCCTTCAGCCCCCTTTACCCCAGGATGCTAAGGCCAGAGCAGATTGGGAGATCACCTAAAACCCCAGTCTTGGGGTTTGGCCACGTAAGTGTGTGTTAATGGTTGGGGGAGCAGGGGCCATTCCTGTGTTCTTCCTGCCTCATGGTCCTGTTCTGCATCTCCAGATGAGCAGCCAGCAGCCACTGGGGCTGGTAACAGGCATACCCTTGGCGGACCCCAAGGAGCTGCTGCCAGCCCAAGGCGAGCCTGACCGCACCTATGAGAGCAGCTCCCATACTCTCATGGCCAAGTGAGACCCCCTTTTCCATACCCTTGCAGACCACACTTCCTCTGCAAGGAACTCTCATTCCTGTATCTCAGACCTGCCCTCTGTGTTGCTCCCTATTCTCCAGCTTCCTGTGGAGGGGCAACCTTGTGACTATGCGACAGCTTAAGGACCCTGGAGTCCATCCTGATGTGCTGTTGGCTGACCTTCAGCACTGCAGGTACTCTGTCTCAGCCCCTCTGCCCAGCCTGCTCCCCTGCACTATTCTCAGCCTGCTCTCTGGACTCAAGCGGTTCATAAACAAAAGACCAGGAAGCGTGGCAATTGCTACGGTGACAGAATCATCACTTCTGCACCTAGCAAGAAGTCTCCAGCTAGAGTCCCCTTTCCCACTGGTTATCTGTGCTGTGTCCTGTAAGCCCCCAGAGAGAAGGTGGAGGTGGGAGGAATCATGGACGGGGGGGGTATGGCTGGGTGCTAATTGTGTCACTGCTGGGTTGTGTGACCAAGGTCTCAGTTTTTCTATCTGGTAGCTGGTACAGATTGTCTGCTCCTGGCACATGGTGGCTAGTCTTTGTCCAAGAACAGCTTTCATGAGGCCAGGGATGGTAGCACATGCTTATATATCCCAGCACTTGGGAGCCTGAGCTAGAAGGATCATTGTGAGTTGGAGGGTCAATTTGGGTTTCATAATGAGTTCAAAACCAGCCTAAATTACATAGTGAGACAAAAAAAAAAAAAAAAAAAAGAACAGCTCCCACCCTATACAGATCAGGGCCTGCCTGTGAGTAGCAGCTCTTCTCCTCCCAGCACCCTGCATCACCCCAATCTGCTGCTGCTGATGGCACTGAGCCCCTCAGTAAACCTGTCAGGGCTGTGTCTCCTCTTCGAGCCTGTGTGGCTAGGCTCCCTGCATGTCGTGCTGCACCAACCAAGATGGAGGGAAAAGGGACCTGTGCGCCGCCTGGCCGCATGCTGCTGCAGGTGCTGGAGGCCCTGCTGTTCCTGCAGGCCCGCTGCCGGGCTCACGGCGGTCTCAGCTCCCATGCTGTGCAGCTGGTACGGCCTGGCCTGGCTAAGGTGGGCAACCTAGAGCATGGGCGCCCACTGGACCAACCTCACCTGAGACCCAGGTGAGTGCTTGTCCTACATGCCTGTCCCATGTCCCTTCCAGTAGCCACCAGCTCACCAAGCTCCTTGCATCCCACAGGCTGTACCAGGGCTACTCCTGGGGAGGCCCAGGTATAGGACTGCCCCCACCTCCTGAACTGTACCCATGGCTTCCTCTTGAACTAATCCATGGCGATGTGCCTGCCACCACCTCGGACCTCTACAGCTTCTGTGTCCTGGCCCAGGAAGTCTTCACTGGTCAGTGAGTGGTACTATACCCTACCTCACTGAGGCAGCCCACTAGTTGGGATCTTCTGATGGTGCTTCCTCACAGGAGAGCTTCCCTGGGCTGGGAGAGAGGGGCTTGAGGTGAAGGCCAAGCTGGAGGCAGGTGAGAGTCCAGTCTTGGATCCCTTGGTGCCTACCCACTACCAGGCCCTGGTTCAGGCTGGGCTCGGTCTAGGGCCTACCAACCGCTGGGGCAGCTTGCAGAGTACTCGATACCTGCTGCGGGAGGCCATGGCTCAGGTACAGGCTCAGCGGGGGTGAGGGTAGCCATGAAGCCTCAGCCAGGGCCTGTGTCCCCACACTCAGCCTCATTTCCCTAGGACTCAGATCCTGAGGTCAGTTCCCCACTGAAGTGGACTACACTGACCCCTGTATCACAGGGGTCCCCACCAGGTTAGAGGGCAAGGGAGGGTGATGGTAGGTGGTGGGCCCAGCTGGGCTGTGCCTCCTTATTCCAGCCAGGTCTCGGCTATCTCCCAGAGCAAATGTACTATGAGGCAGCTCGCAGAGCCATGACCACGCCCAGGTCTGTGTACCCAAGCCCCATCCCATCCCAGGTAGGAACTTCAGGAGGATGTGGGGGCCCAAGGGAGATATAAGGCACTGAGCAATCCATGTCAGCTCTCTGATGTTGTTCTCCATAGGTCCTGGAGACTCCTGAGGTCACAGACTACAGTGGGGTTCACAGGAATGCAGCCTGGTACTCAAGCAGCAGCTTGACTCTAGGCAGCAGCCATAGTCATGCCCCTGGCTCTAGCCATAGCACCACCACCAGTGTCAGCCCGTCCTGCTGTCTGGAGCCCACATCAACAGTATGAACACCCTCAGAGCCCATTGCTGACCTTTGACTCTGCCATTCCTGCCCTCCAGGAAACCCCTGGCTCCCTGTCCTCTAACCAGTGATATCAGGACACTGACCTCTGACTCATGGTCAACATTGCTTCCCTCAGAGCCCTGCTGTGTACTTCAGCTTGCAGGTCTCAGTTTTTTAGCTGGGGATGCAGTCCTGTGGAGCAGTTTGAGAGGAAGTTTTCCATCAAAATCCTTGTCCTTCAGGGGCTGTTGCAGCCCAATACATTCTATTCCATTATACCCCCATCCCTGTGAGCCCACCGTGCCTGCTGACCCACAGTGAGGCTTCCCACACTGAGAGGCTGCTGGCAAGGAAGTCCATAGCCCTCAAGGCCATCCCACACCCTATCCGGCCCTTCTAGACCCACTGGAGCTTTATGGCCACCCAGCTTTTTTGTCTTGTAGCCAGCCAGCACTGAGCTGATGGGAGATCTCTTCACCAGCCTCCAGAAGTAAGAACTGGGGCCTAGGGGGGGGACCCAGAGCCCCACCCATGAGGTAATCCTGTCTACCCTTTCCTATTCCAGAATGGATCTGCTGGGAGAGATCATGGCAGAGCTGCAAAGTGGATGTCAACTTGGAGACAAGGCTAGCCTAGGCCCTGACAAGCCTAGCCTAGACCCTACCACTGACACGGATTCTTAGGATACCCTGGCCTCTCCCTACAGATATTGCCCCCCTGGAATCTTCCAAGAAGGACTGACTCCCCACTCAATGCCTGTCCTATGGAAAGAAAATGACAAAGAACCCATCTGTCTCTGTTAACTGAGTCTGGCCCCAGCATGACACCAACAGCCACATTTTCACCATTTTTATTCATTAATTTTGTCAGACGGTTTAGCGGGGTGCCTGGGGAGAGACGGGCAGGAGCTGTTCCCTTACCCCCTGTGCACAGGTCAGGACAAGCTGGGGGCCTCTAGAGGGAGAGGAGAACAGGGTATTAGCCTAATCCTCCTTAGATTTGTGCAAGGGCCCCCAGGAAGGACAGTAGGGGGCTGGAAATACCCTTCAGCCCAGGGAAAGAATATTATTTTAGGTTAGGAAACAGAAGCAAGTTACAAAGTTAGAAACCTGGAGTAGGGGTTGAGAACTCAAGAAAATACAAAACAAGAGATGGGGTCAGGCCAAGATCCAATGAGGACAAAAGGGAAGAATACCCTTCTCAGCTCCAGCTCAACAGTAGCTTCGGGTCTGGCCCTCAGAGTGGAGGGACCAACTGGGAGTGAGGTAAGGAGGTGGAGGACCAGCCCCCTCTCCCCTCTGACCCCCATTTCTGTACAAAGACCCTTGGTAATGCTCGCTCCCCCTCCCATAGGCTGGTGGGGATCCCCTGTAGAGCAGGAGAGGTTCAGGAGGGCCCCAAGGTCCTGTTACCCTATGAGGGGTATTGGAGCCCCAGGGAGCCCGCTGCTTCTGAGGGAGACGAGGTGCTGGGGGCCCAGGATCCGAACGACTTCTGGGATGGGCAGGAGGGGAAGAGGAGCAGGAAGAGGCAGGTGAAGGACCCCTGGGCCCTAGGGCTAGGTTGACATAGAGGGGCTCTGGCCGGGTAGGGTGCCGGGCAGGGTGCTGGGGGACCGAATAGCCAAGGTGGTCAGGTGGAAAGCAGGAGGGGGGCGGTGGGTAGCTGAGCAGGAAGTCAGGTGACCTGTGAAGTGGTGGTGACTGGCCAAGCATGCCATATGAGGCACTGAGCCTATCAGGGGGCATGGAGCGAAAAGGACTCCAGGACCGAGTGGGCCCAGAATAGGGGGAACCCTCACTAGCCCCAATCTCATAGTACAGGTTCTCTCCCCTGTCAAGAGGTGCAGGGGGGCCCAGAGAATTCCTCCAGACTTGGGCTGAGGAGTTGGGTTGAAAGGAGGAGGGGGCGAGAGGGTACAAGCCTGGTTTGGAGACCCCAAGGAAAGGTGGCAGGCACTCCCGGGGAGCTGGAGAAAAGACACTAGGGGTAGGAACCTGTGAAGGGACAGAACAGGGGGACTGGGCTGCCATTTCTGGGGCATCCCTGCACCCCCCACCAGCCCTAAGCTGGGCACTGACCTGAGCAGGGCCTCTGAGACCCCTCCTTGAGGTCCCCACAGGCCGCTGGCTCCGTACCAGGCTCCCATCACTTTGTTGCCTTGGTAGGTAGGGTGGGGGTCCTGGGGCCCAGACACCAGGGTGGGCTAGGGAGTGAGGGGGTGGTCCACTCCCTGAAGTTACCACAGGTTCCCCACCGACCTCCAGGGACAGTGAACGGCGGAAAGGGGAGTGTGGACTAGTTGAGGTGCTTGCATGCTCCTGCTGGCTCTGTTGCTTAGCCACCTGCTGAGCCCGCTCAGCCAGGGCCAGTGCCATGAGGCGCGCTGCGTTCTTGGGGGGTGGGGGTGGGGCCCCACCAGGGCGTAGAAGGGACAGAGGTGGGGGCAGCAATGGTGAATCTATACCAGGACCTACACAGAAAGGAATGGGAAGGGGATCAGGTGGGTCCTGGGGTAACTTCGGGGTTTGTGAGAGTGTGGGGTGGGCTGAGCAGGACTCAACATGCTGGCCTTGGCTTCCCCCAGGACCAGGCAGTGCCAGCTTACTGCTGATCTCTTGTTGGCAGGTGTCACTTAGCTGGGCCTCTGATCCATGCAGCAGCAAGGGGATGAGATGGGGGCGCAAGCCTGGGCCAGGGCTGAGAGCTGGTGTTGGGGTGACCGAGGCAGGTGTTCCTCCTGCCCCCAGCAGTTCTAGGACAGCAGGTGGTACAGACACAGCCAGGGGCTCTGAGATGTCCAGAGCAGTGGACGAAGCTGGGCTGGTGGGTCCTCGGGGTGAGGGAGCCTTGGGGGTTGCCCTGGGTGGGCAGGCAGAGGCGGGTGCTGGGGGTGCTGGGCTGGCAGGAGGTGCAGGGTCCCCTGGGGTGGGGCTGCTGCAGCGAAAGGTAAGCGGATCAAAGTCCAGGCCCCGGAGTCCCTCCAGGCAGCGGGGTGGGCTAAAGTCCAGTTCATCACCATCATCTAGCCAGGCTGAGGTGCGATGTGAGGGTGACCCGGAAAGTGGCCCCAGCCCAGCTGCTGAGGACTCAGATGATGATGATGAGGAGGAGGCTGACGAGGAGGAGGAAGAAGAAGAAGAAGAAGACAGGGTCTCGCAGGAGCCAGCAGGTGCTGGGCCCACTGGGAAAGCATCGCTGCTGGAGTGGGGTCGCCGTAGCCTGTGTAGCCTCTGGAGGCCTGAAAGAGGGTTAGGGAACATTTAGGGCTCAGGGGTCCGAACTCTGTGTATTCATACATTAGTGAGAATGGGGCATAGCTCAATAAAAAAACAGAAAAAGAACAAAGAGGAACCTCCCCAGAGAAGACCACAGAAGCTATGAGTCAGGGAAGAACTGTTGAGGTTTGCAGATGATAAGGCAAGACCATGAAGAGAACCATGATCCAAAGCAAAAATGAGTCTGGCCACCTCACAGGCTGTGAGCATAACACCACCATGATCTCATGCCTGGCTGCTGGGAGTCCAGGTACAACTCCTCATGGAAAACAACACTTGTCCTCTAAGTTGCTCATGTGTAGATACAAAACAGTACTACTTCTCCTGGCTATGTGGCAGCACAGTCTGCCAGGAGTGCGGGTTTGGCAGGAATTGTTTATAAGAGCCTCAAATCCATCTGGAATGGGCTGCGATAGCCACTCAGGTTAGAGAGCAATGAAATGAGGCTGAGCCACACATGTGGTAGTCTATAATGGTGTGTGAGGTACAGTCAGGTTCACATTCAACATGATAACTTTTTTTATGATGATCTGTAGCTTCAAAAGCAACCAGAATTAAATATGTTATTTACATATATACTATATGTGATAAAAACCTTCCAAGCAAAGGAATGATCATCAAATTTAGAGAATGCCTCTGGGAAAGGGGGAGCTCTCAGATGAGGTATGGGGGCTCTTCTAGTGTACCTAGGGAATTATTTAATTTTTTTCTTCAAAAGAAATATAGACAAGACATTTAAAAATTTAAAAGGGTGTCACATGAACCAATAAGTACAGTGCATAATGGACCAAAGGTGAGACTTTAACTTGTTGAAAACTTCAAATTAAAAATTATAAATTCCCAGGGGCTGGGGATTTAGCTCAGCGTCATAAGCACCTGCCTTGCAAGCAGGTAGTGGTGAATTTGATCCCTGGTACCGATAAAAACGAAAAAGACCAAAAAAAAAAAAGTCAAAAAATTATAAATTCCCAAGATCTCTCACCTAAAATGCAATGTTTGGAAGTAAAACTCAGGCCCCAGTTCCTCCCACCTCCACTTGGACACACATAGGACCCATCCTGTGCTCACCAGTCCCACTGGCCTGTGATGATAGAGACTCTTCACTCTTAGCCGACCTCAGTGTGACTGTGTCAGGTCGGTTGCCTGCACGGAGAGGTAGGACAGTATAGGAAAGCATGCCACAGACAACCACCCCTCATCCATGCTGAATGCATGGCCTCTGACCTGAAGGCTGTGGTGGTGCACGAGAGCCCCCCAGCCAGGGTAGAGGCTTCTTCCGGGGGATGCTGGGGCCCCGGCCAAGAGCAAAGAATGTCTTCCAGCTGCTGCCCCCTGGCTTCCGCTGTTTTTCCCCTCTCTCCCTTTTCCTCCTGCAGTTTGGATAAGAAACAGGAAGCAGGCTAAGGAACCAAGGCTTCCCTCTGCCCACACCTCCCACATCCTACTCACTTTTCCACAGGTGAGGCTGCAGCCTTGAGAGTTGTGGGCTCAGTGGGTGTTCCCAGCCGGCCCTGGGTACGAGCCTGGGCTTCTTCCAGTGTCAGCAGGCGAGTAGAGGGGCCACTTCCCGCAAGGGACTTGGGCCTGGGGAGAAGACAGCGGCCTGGGGAGGTCAAAAGCAGTGCAGCTATCAGCCCTGGGGCCACTCAAGGCCACAGGCAAAGCCAAGCGCCACAGCCCAAGCCCCGGCCCCGCAGCATGCCCACCCGGGCTGGCAAGGCAGGGGGCCAGGGTAGATCAGGCGGGAATGGGGACAGCAGGCAGGTAAGGAGGGGTAAGGCAGAATGAGCTGATGAGGAGGCAGCTCCCAGCAGCCAGCAAGGGCAGCGGCTCTGGTCAGTTACCTCGGGCCAGAGGGCCCTCCGACGAGCTGAATCCTGACTGGGCTGGGGTCCGGGGCAGGGCAGGGAGTCTGGGCAGGGCCAGGATGGGGTCAAATCTGGGGACCTCCCACCTCCTCCCAGGTGGACCCATGGCCCCAAGTGCCCCCAGGATCTATAAGGGGTGAAGAAAGAACGGCGTCCTGGCCAAGAAGTGGGAATCCTGAGCGTAGGAGCTGAAATGAGAAGGAGCAGGGGCACCGGGAGGATGGGCCGGGGCAGGGACCTTGAGGGGCCAGGAAGGAGATCCAGCTCCATTGGGTAGGGATAGGGCTGGGAGCCCACCTGCCCTCCCACTGCAACCCTGATGTCGCGGGGTCAGAGCCAGGATGTCAGGGTGGGATGGACATACCTGCAGGGTCTAGGCCAGCAGAGGTGAAGGTGTCACTAAACAGGACCTCCACATGGGTGAGCAGGAATTCCACCACCACTGACTGCACACGAACCTCCCGGAAGGCTGCCGCCCCACCCAGCCCCACTGACTCTAGCTCCATGGACCTGGAAGGGGTAAGGAGAAGGAGGCCAGGAGCCTTGATCTTGGGCTGGCAATTTCTAGGTGGACAATGGAGGGTGGCAATGGAAGCAATGGCTGTTTGATACCTCTGACCTTCT